GCTTTCTTGCCTTTTGCTGTCCCTTTCTTCTGATTGTCTTCGGAATATGTACCCATGCAGTACTTCCAAAAATTCTCAAATGTGCCAGTGATGGCTTTTTCCCATATAGAATGGCATATGGAGTATTATTAATGGAGGAACTCCACAGCCTGTTAACTATATAATTGGCAGTCAATATGGCTTCTCCCCAATATGACCTACTCATACCAGAATCCTCTAATAATGAATCTTTCATTGTTTGCAAAACATTCCTTCTTTCAGCTACACCGTTCTCTGCTGCTGTGTAAGGATTTGTACGTCTTTGTCTTATCCCCAACTGCCCCAACCATTGTTGGAATTTAGTTGACATAAATTCAGTACCTCTGTCAGTTTGCAACTGACACACTTGTTGTCTGTACCTTCTCTCTATAAAACTTACCCACTGTTTGAATTGTTGTAGCACCTCTGTCTTACCTCTAAGCAAGTAACAAAAACCATACCTGCTATAATCATCAACAATTACCAGTGCATATTTTGCTCCTCCCAAACTGGCTTGCATAGGTCCCACCAGATCTGCATGGACCAATTCTAGAGCTCTTTTTGTTTTTCTTGTGCTTTATTTACTAACTGGGAATGCCTTTGACTTTGATGCTTTGCATACTGCACAGTCCAAATATGTTTTGCATCCCTTCAAATTTAGCCCTTCTGCAAACTCTTACATTTGCTGCAAAGCTTTAAAGCTTGCATGGCCAGGTCTTCTATGTAGAAGATGAACGCACAAAACATACTCTGCAACATTCTTAAATATATGGGAACATTGAACCTTTTGTCCCTGCAATACATATAGATTATCTTCCTTTATGCCTTCTGCACAAATATTCCCATTCCTTTGATGAGACACTTCCTACTTACAAAAATGGTCTCAAAACCTTGTTTGTCTAAATTAGACACACTTAACAAATTATGTTCCATCTCAGGTACACAAACGTGTAACCATTTGAAACTAAGGTTTATACCTTAAAAATGTAGCGGAGAAGGCTACTGAAAACGAAAGACCGGTAAACGGTTTCGGTGTCGAAGAACACGATGACCTTGTTTGGACGTTAATAATTCAGAGTCATTAACAATTGTTTGACTTGCCCCACTATCTATTAGCCACTTGTCTCTGTTGTTGCTATTGCAAACCTTTGCAACACCAAAATGTTCCTTTTGCAAATCAGTCTTCTTTACTTGCACAAATGTCCTTCGCTGCAAATTGTTCCTCTGCAAACAGTTCCTTTTCAGATGTGTGCTTGCACCGCAAATGTAGCAAGTTTTCTCTTCTGAGCCCTCTGCTTGCACAATCTCTCTTTAATTGCAACTTGGTCCCATCTGCTGTTTGTTCCTTCTCCGGAGACTTGCAGTCCGGACCCCCTCCTCAGGAATTTCACCTCGTGGCTGCTCCTAAAATGGCGCTTTTCTACTTCATTAAGCAAACATGCCTTTAAAGCCTCAAAATTTAAGTCTTGCTCTTCTTTACACTCAAATATTGCAGAAACTGTATCCCAGGTTTTATCTAAACTGTTCAACACCAATAAAACCTTCTGGGACTCAGGGAATTTAATCCCACATTGTTCTAAGTCCAAAAATAAACTTTGCATTTTATTTAAATGCTGTTCCACAGATTCGCCTGGTTGCAAACAGGCCCTGTAAAGTTTTCTTGACAATTGCACTATATTGCATGCAGAAACATTCACGTGCACAGCTCTCAATTTCAACCAAATCTCCTTTTCAGTCTTTAAATTTGCAACATTTAGAAATTGTTCATCATCTAAATTCAAGATGAGATAAGCCATTGCTCAATCATGACTTTTCTGATCAACAGCTGCAAACACTTGTGGGGGATTTTCTACGATATACCACAGCTCTTAGCTTTCAGCAAACATTCCATTTTAGCAGCCCACACAATGTAATTCTTCTGGCCCAAACTAGGCACAGAGCTTTCCTTAAATTCCATTGCAGCCATTCTGCTAATTCTGCCTTGTTCTTATACTTTCTAAACACAGGCAATTTCTTCCAGCTTTAAATTACAATGTAGTCGTTAGTAAGCTCTGGGCCCATAACCTGTTAGAGAATTTTAATTTCTCTATTGGTGAAAAATAAATCAGAAGCTCTCACAGTTGACTGCATTTTAGCTGATTCAAATAACTTCTTTATATTCATATCAAAATATTTACAATACCATACATTCTTCTTTACAGCAACATAGCACAATGAAGACTTCTTATAGAGAGATACAGAGACAAACCTGAGGCTAAGAAAAAATCCAGCTCCTAACTCAATACCTTTTTGCACAGACTCAGTAGTACTTTCTTCACATTGGCTGACTGAGTTACCACATGATTCTTCCTGCTCATGAATATTCCAACAGTTTATCTTTGTAACAGTTGTGCCATTTGGGCTGCAAAAGGAATAAGACTTAGGGAATGAGATTGCTATTAGTTATTCCTAT